CTAGATCCTGTTGACCTAGGGGTAGTTGCAAGCGGCGTTGGAATGGTCGTAGACACCTCCAAAGAATGCAGTAGTCGCGTCCTTGCCAATGTTCTTGCGAAGGAGGTGACGGCCACCGGGGTGTTCATCCATAAACGAAGAAACGTCGTGAATGAAACCGGCGATAAGGACGAGTGGGCGGGTCTTGGACTGTTCTTGGACTAGTAAAAGGTCAATAATCGTATACCCGGACATGTGCGGAAATACGTACAGCTCTCCCATGTGATGACGGGCAAGTCGTTCGAAGTAGTGGGCCACTTCATTTCATCGGCCTTAGCCTTGAGCTTCTTCAATTCCATCGTCAATTGACCCTTCCTGACCTCGTTATCGGGGAACGACTTGAGGTGCGACGCAAGTCCGAACCAAGACATGACGGTAATGAACCACTTGGTGGGATCGTATTGGTACCATTTGATGGCATTGCGATAGTCCATGGGGAATTGATGGTGGAAGTTGTGGTAGCCCTCTCCGATGGTGACAAAGGCGGTGATCATGTGATCGCGAGGAGTGTGCTTGTCATCGAAAGGAGTCTCTCCGAGCCAGTGAGCCAACGAGTTGACGCAGAAAGTGGACTATAAACGACGTTAGAGAGAAATTTTAGAGAGAAACACAACAACTCACGTGATGGACGAACACAAGGCGGGCAGCACCAGCGTAGAAATAACCACCGCGCCAGTCACCCCAAAGAAGACCGGGAACGACGGTAGGCATAACAAACGCCATAAAGAGCAACAACCAGACATAGTACTTGTGTTGCCAGCGGACGACGGGGCTGTTGATGAGGTCGGAAACGTCAGCGACACCGGGCTTGCGGCGGGGTTTGAAAACCATCCAGCCAATGTGCGACCAGAGCAGACCGTGGTGAGCACCATAGGGATCAAGGTCGGTGTCGGTGTAACGATGGTGAGCACGGTGTCCCCGGGACCACCACTTGATAGAACCTTGAACGGCGCCAGCTCCGGCAAAGGCGAGCATGTACTGGAGGGGGACCGAGGCGTTGTAGGAACGGTGTGCCCACAGTCGGTGGTAGCCTGCGGTGATACCCAGACCGGTCACAAAGTACCAAAAGACGGCAAAGATGGCAGTCTTCCATTGGAGTTGGGTGGTGAAGAAGCCATAGAGGGCAATGGTGGGGGTGAGCGTGAGGGCGAGGGTGCTGATCCAATTAATCTCCTGCAGCGCGTTGCGCCAAGTAATCGGGGGGAGGGGCTTTGTGTTCTTGAGCGTATGCTCGACATAGTTGTCGGGGATGTTGATGTCAACAGGAATAGCATCCTGCGACGACGCAGAGCCCGCTTTTCGACGTTGTTCGACTTTGGACATCGTAGAGGTGGGGGAAGAGATGTTGATAGAACGAGAGGGCGTGCACCGACGCTTTTTATATGTGCCACAAGAGCCTTTTCTGGGGATTGGGGAATGCTGTCCGGGTGGATACAGGGCCGAGATGCGTGGCACGCACACCTAGACTTTTTTTTCAGGAGACTGTAGGCGAGCTCTACTGCGCCTAGTCTGTTTTTTCAAGCTGCTAAACGCGTAGACCGGGTCCAAAGGACTATGGGGGTCTAGTTTTCACAAGCTTGGAGGTCTATGTAGCAGTGGAGAGGGCCAAGTGAGTAGCAGCTCCTTTGGGGTGATGGAAGCCAAAAGCCTTCGCCCCCAAAAACGTATTGCATACTCCGTGTCCGACACGGCCGCCGGCCCGGTCTCCTCGATAAAGTCGCAAATATTTCCAGAAAATCAAAAATCACACTAGATTTATCTAGAGAATATATGGAACGAAATGGAGAATTTTTGTCGAATTTTGGACCGGCGTCGGGTCGTCTTTGGGGCGGTAGAATTAGCTGGCTATACACTGTGCTGTCATCGTTTCCGGCCCAGGTTGTTGGCCATGCATTCTTCCTCGAATTCACGCGGTAAACGAAAGGCATATATCATTGACAGCGACGACGACGATGACGAGTATGCTGATGCCGATACTCCTCCAACACCAGCTGTGGCAGCCGCAGCGACGCAGCCCGGGAAATCCCAGCACCCTCATAGCCGGAAGTCACATATCATCAAGAGCAGTAATGCAAAACAGATTCAGAACGCGTTGACGGTGTGGTTCTTGGATGGAGTTCATGACGCGCGCGGTATGCCATGGCGGAAACGATGGGACCCTGCATTGTCCGCCGAAGCCAAAGCGCAGCGAGCATATGAGGTCAGTTATACTCTCTTGCATGTGCTTTATGGAATGTCGTTTTGATTGTGCCTCGTAGGTCTGGGTGTCCGAGATAATGCTCCAACAAACCAGAGTGGAGACGGTTATCCCGTATTACCGAAAGTGGATGGATGCGTTAGTGCAGTTATTGGAGCGTGGTATCATTGTGGGTTAATTTTGCAAGACAGGTTTCCAACCGTGCGGGATCTGGCCGCCTCGAACATCGAAGCCGTCAATGCACTGTGGAAAGGTGCGTATATTGTATCGCACATGTACATCGATTGACGCGAGATAGGCCTAGGATACTATTCCAGGGCAGCCAGATTATTCGAGGGTGCAAAACTGGTGGTCGAAAAGTTCGATGGCAAACTTCCAGACGACGCCGCCCTTCTCCAGTCTGACGTCCCGGGCATTGGCAAGTACTCGTCAGGTCGTCTCTTTTTCTAAACATGTTTGTAACAATTTCTGACGCGTATTTAGGCGCTATTTGTTCTATCGCTTATGGGAAATGTGTGCCTGTATTGGATGGAAATGTCCATCGATTATTGTCTCGAGTGCTAGCACTTTACGCATCTCCCAAAGCCAAACAAGTCACTGATATGCTATGGGATGCGGCTGAAGCCATCGTCAAAGATGCTTCGGATCCAGGAGCGGTCAACCAGGCCTTGATCGAACTCGGGAGCACCATTTGCACACCAAGGGACCCAAAGTGCGACAAGTGTCCCATAAGCTCACACTGCAACGCTTATAAATGGCAAACAGTAAGTCATACTTTGATTCAAACTAGTTTCTAACACGGGCCTAGGGAAAAACAGCTACGACCGATATAGAAGACCTCTGTGATGTGTGTGATCCGATAGTGGACACGACCAAAAGCGTCACAATATTCCCCATGAAAGTGGAGAAAAAGGCCGTTCCAGAAGAAACGGACGTGGTCTGTGCTATCGCATGGAGGCCAAAGGACGATCCAACCACCTACTATCTTTTACGAAAGAGACCAGCAACGGGTGAGTCATTCGACTGTTCAGCCTCTCCTCACTCACTCTGCCTTAGGACTGCTTGCAGGT